TATACATACTTCATATACAGTCTTTTACAATCATAAAATCTTCAAAAACATTCTGTAAAGGTTTTAGGACATGACAGGAGCAGCAAGAGTAGCCAATGGGAATCTGGGGGAAGAAAACTGCTATCATTAGGCTGTTCCAGTTCATTAAATGACTTACAATCATGACTTTTCTTATATTCATGTTTGAAAAGTTACATTAAAAACAGATTTACCTTGTGCCATCTTGTCTGTCAGACATTTAAGTTTCAACCCGTCAAACGCATAGCGCAACCTCACCTGTAACAATGGTGCACTAGATCAATAGCGCTCCTGTTGTAGTCAGTGGAGTGCACAGAAACTTTGTTGCATATAACAGCGAAGTTGCGTCGTGTTTCAGCACTGGTCATGCATTCGGTTGGCTGGAGGTGAAACTTCCACGGTGGTGCCGGCGCATTGTTCACTTTTGAGTGTAGATCCCGTGAATGCTGCGTTTGTAGAAGGCTAGCATTACAAGCAGACGTTAGCTTGGACATACATTTAAAAAAATAATAATAATAAAAAATAATTGGAAAAATGTGAGATTACAGATGTTTTATTATTTACACGGTAATAATTTGATAGGATTACAATGTAATACATACCTTAAATTCATTCAGGAATTTTCCCGTCAGTCAAGTTTTCTCTCAGGACAGAAAACACGAAAAAATGACCACTGACAAATGTATCCAGTTTTAACTGGTTTGGCACAGTTTACCCAACATTGGGTTACACTGACCCAGTGCTGGGTAGGTGTGTGAGGAGATTCATAATTTGTATTGACAGTAAAAGTGACCCAGCAGCTGGGTAAAAAAAAATTAAAAATATTAAAAATCACCCAATAAAATGACCCAACAAGCTGAACCCTACGGAGCCCGGGAAGTCACCTGTAGGAGAAAAAAAAACAATCCGTGGCGACGGTTTTGCAATCCGTCCCCTCAGATTGTTTTTTTTTCTCCTACAGGTGACTTCCCGGGCTCCGTAGAACCCAGCATTTGGGTAAAAAAAAAAAATTAAAAATTTTTTAGAGTGCATAAAAACTACCCAGAACCTATAGGTAAAAATGTTAAAAAAATAACCCAATAAAATGACCCAACAGGCTGAATCCAGTATTTTTTTAGAGTGTAAATATAATCATTTGCACTCTACGTTACTATTGTGTCATGTTACTGTACAACAATACTGAGGCGCAAATAGTATCTGCCACACTCTAATAAAATACTGGGTTAAAAACAAAAATTTCTGGGTTATTTGGCAACCCAGAGCTGGGTAAATATTGGACAGAACACATGCTGGGTTATTTTAACCCGGCTTGTTGGGTTTTATACATTAACCCATTTGCTGTTTTTTTGTGTGTTTTTTTTTGACATAGTGCTGGGTTCATGGCCGGACTTACCATTGGGCCTGACTGGGCTGCAGCCCATGGGCCCCGCCTTTGCCCGTTTATGTTTGTTTGATTTGTTTGGTTATATACCAGTCAGAAATTATTAGCCGCATTTCCACTGCACACACAAAGGCTAAACGGCCAGCCGGGGCAGCTTCCAACTACTACCTTTGAGGCCATAATCAAACAACATAAACTGGTAGGCTAGTTATGATTAGTTCACATAGTAGAAGGACACACGTATTGAATCGCGACTGCGCTGATGAATTTGTGATCATATGGCTACTTTAAACAGCTCCATTAAGCCTTTAGCCCAAAAGAGCACATATCAATATCTTTCTAAATAAATTCTCATATGTTCACGCCTCATTTCTTTACAGAGGATGATTCTGTATTATATTAATGTTCCACTAAATTATGCAATCTGTGGAGTTTTGAGCGCTCTCTCCTGTCTCACTGCCATCACACATAATGGGACAGAAATGTCATCAAAATGATAAAAAAAATAAATAAATTGCCATTTAATGATTTTCTGTTTTTATAACACATGCCTATGATATAGGAGTTAGCCTATCACACAAACAAGAGTCCTGTTTTTCTGAATATCTGCGTGATCGTAAATGTACAATAAACAACAAGTTAATGACTAACTTTCTGACACAAAATTCCGTTTTACTCCGTCAAAAAGAAAATAGAACAAACAGCAGAACCGCTGCATCTCCGAGCAACACAGTGTTTAGTTCCTCAGCGTTACACTGACCAGTAAATGACTCAATCAGGCTATAAGTACAGTCATTTGTGAAGTTAAACGAATTGGTTGATTTAAGTTTTAAGACAGTCACTTGCTGCCGCCTACTGCCTGTTGTAGTTTCACATTTAAAAAAGTAGTTTATTATTTCATTTTTGCAATCATTTAATATTTCTACTAGTGTTGTCAAAAGACACGGTACTTCGGTACCAAGTCGGTACTAAAAAAACGAAAATGTTACGGTACCAGGTTTTTTTAAGTACCGGTGGTACAGAGTACCCGGTAAACCCGGTTCTTGATGCGCTATCCAAAAAGTGTGCAGATGCGCTCTCTTCATAAAAGCACTGAGACGTGGCAACATCAAAACGAGGAAACACACCAAACTAACAAAACACTTTAAAGACACCCAGATCAAATGAAAGAGTTCAAGCTGGTAAGTTTCATTTAATTTTTTTATATTTAGATCAGTGTTTCCCATACATTGATTTATTTGTGGCGGAACCGTGGATTTTCACTGGTATTGGTACCGAATACTGAAATTTTGGTACCGTGACAACACTAATTTCTACATTGAAATGTTATATTTAAACTTAACATAATTTATGCAGAATCTTTATATGGATTTTATTGATAGTGATTTGATTTGATTGAATTTGATTGTTAATAGGCAGCATATTTTTATTTAGATTGAATTTGATAAAATTTAAGAATCTGACGTAAGAGGACACATATAGGCTATGACAATAAATTTTTATAATACTAATACATCTATCTTTTTTTGCTCCGTGTAAGTTCAGGGTTTTGATCTCTCAACTGAGAGAACGCATCCTGTTTATCGTATTATAATGACTATTTCATATTACATCTAAACTTTGACTAGGCTAGACATGTTGCATATTAATTGTACTATATATGAACCTCAAAGCATATTTTATTTTTTTGTGTATTTTGTGTTACTCCATAATGATGTTCTAGTAAACCCGGTGCGGGTGTTTTTATATCACTGTATTTCTGAAGGAGACTGTCTAAAGAAAATTATGGATGTCATTTTCATTTCATGTTGCCTGTAATGCCTGAGCAGCGTTTGTGAGCACAGCGCTTATTTGATTACAGCCGTTACTGGGGAAACCTCTATCTCTCCTGCTCTACAAGCGCCTCCTGCTGGCAGAGAATGAATTTGCATATATTTGACGCCACAAATAGAGTGCAAGTCTGTGGGAAACTCCGCTTCTGTTATGAATAT